TATTAGAGCCGCTAGTACCTGTTCTTCGGATAGGATCGATGAAGAAATGAGTTTTCCTGAGAAAGTATTTTCGGAAACGTCTATCCGAAGCAATTCATTGCTTTGTACCAAAACCGCAGACAAGAAATTCCTCCCGAACTATCAGTGCCAAAAAGCCAGTGAGCATTTGCTCTCCCTTTCAAAGGGGATATTGTATCCAACGAGATAAAACGAAGGTCTCGATGTGCAATTGAAGGAACTTACCCAGCCACTAAATTGTTATACATAAGCACAACAACGGCTATTCCTGTTCCACCAACTAAAGAAATTCTTCCTTTGCATGCCACATCACATTGTGGTTACGAGTTTACATGTAGTTGAGGATGCAAATACATCGCGTGCACGCAAATGAAGTTGGCAACGCGGTCACCTAAATAAATGCCGAAGTTATTGCTCAGGGCAGAAGATAAAGAGTTCAATTCCAAAGCAGCTAGTGGACAGCAGTCATACGGTCGACCAAAAGACTACATTTAGGGTCCTCATTCGGACGACGACCGGGCGTTTCCTACGATTTGCGGAGGCCGCTGCAATACGGAGAAGAAAGCTAAAACTCAAATTCGAAAATATCAGAATTCCCGGATATGAATTATAATTCATCTTCTGCTCACCGGAATAAATTTGAAGATTTGCTGACGTTTCGGACAGCTGGGCCTGCTGTCCTTTGTGAAAACGAATACTGACTTTTATCGATCAGCGGTTTAACGTTGCGGCTGTAAGTGTTGGCCTTGGGCGAACGAAGAAAAACCGATCAGCCCAAAGCCAACACTTACAGCCGCAACTTTCAACTGCCGATCGATAAAAGTCAGGCCCAGCTGTCTGAAACGTCAGCAAATCTTCAAATTTATTCCGGTGAGCAGAAAATGAATTGTAAAGCTAGAACTCTGTAAGCTGCTGGATCATGTGATCAACCTTGCATTGTCGTGGTAACGATCAATAAACTCATTCCTCTTTGCTCCTCCTTACGATTGACTGCTACCCTGTCTTCTGTGACCCTCCCCCTGTTAATGACATCTCACAGGCTTCCATGAACATGAACTAGCATGAGCCGCCATGCTGTGATCACTATTTCTCCCCTTCTCTACCCCCTCACAATGCGCCCTCATCTAAGACTAATAGCTTCTACTCTATTTACCTATCAAGTTTCACCAATCTAGGTTAGCACTTAAGTGGAGAGTTAATTTATCTTATTGATGAACAGTGACCGTTTGCAGTTGAATAAGAAGGCGCAATAGGCTCTGCTAATCTCGTGCTTTTCACCTTGTTCAAATCCATATGAACTAGTTGCGTAGATCGTTAAGTAAATAACGCCGATTTTTTTCAAATGGCACTGCCACACGATGGCTCCTTAGTTCACCCAAACTGAAGTTGTCGGACGTAACAAAAAGACGAGAAGAAACGAGGCAATAGAAAGAAAAAGACGAGGAACCGGGAGTCCGTGGACCTCCAAGTGACAGTCACAACGCCGCCTAATTGGGAACCACTCATAAAAAAATTAATCAGAGCTGTAACAGAGTACAAGCAACATAACCAGAGAAGGAGGACAATCACCTTCGTGTCTTCATGATTGCAGTGAAGAGGCGCACTGAGGCTGAGCTCAGTGCAGAGCTCAGTCTGGAATCTTTGCAGCTGTCGCCCTCAACGGTAGTTCGGACGATGAGGCACTAAAATACGGAGACATGAACCACGTAAGCCAATTAAGACAAAAGGCTAAACCGCCTCCACGGCAGCTGCTTCAACCTAGTACTTAAGGAAACGAGGCAGAACAGAATTCCCGAGACGGCAGTCCTGAATCGGATCGGAATCCTCAGCATTCATGCTTTTTTTGGCAATTATTAGTGTACTATAGTGGCAATCTCGGGCTCCCTGTAAGCGCCTTACCTAGGAGGATATTCAAGAAAGGAAGCGAACCTGCCGTCTCCACTTCCAAGGGGTGTGCTTGGTTAACAGTATGTAGAAGCGCACTTACATCAGTTTCTGCTGGCTTGATGGCAAAGATGTCATCGACATATCGATCGTAGTGTTTTAACTCATCAATCTGCTCGCTGAGTTGAGATTTCTCCAGCTTGCCCATTAAGATGTTAGCCAAGAGAGGCCCAAGAGGCAAGCCCATAGCGACGCCTTCTGTTTGTCTGTATAGTTGATTATCAAAAAGAAATTGCCCACTAAATGTGCATTTTAGTAATAGTTCCATTAATGCATCAATTGGTATTCCTACTTCTATCTGATTTTCCGCTACGAATTCGCAGATATAATCGACTGTCTCTGTTACTGGAACGTTTGTAAACAGCGATGAGACGTCTAGGGAGAGCATCGTCTTGCCATTTAAGTTTATGTCTTTTACGACATCGATAAATTAGAACATATCTTGATAGCTATGTGGTGCCAGCTGCTGCTATAAGGGCTTGAGTTTCTCAGCCAACCACTTCGCTATCGCATGGTATGGCGAGTTTCA